GTTCGGCAATGTTTGCTTTGACCTTCTAGCCGCCGCCTCATCCAATGAGCCTGCGCCTTGGAATCCATGATGGACAAGAACTTTGCAGCCGCTTATGCCGCCGGCCTTCTGTGGCACGTCGAGGGTTGAAGATGTTGGGTCGTGTGGACTTTGCACAGAGTGCATTGGAAATGAGCGTAAAAAAAAAGAGTGAGTGAGAGTGAGTGAGTGAGTGAGTGAGAGTGAGTGTGAGTGAGTGTGAGTGAGTGTGAGTGAGTGAGAGTGAGTGAGAGTGAGTGAGAGAGTGAGTGAGAGTGAGTGAGAGTGAGTGAGAGAGTGAGTGAGAGAGTGAGTGAGGGAGTGAGAGAGAGAGAGAGTGAGAGAGTGAGAGAGTGAGAGAGTGAGAGAGTGAGAGAGTGAGTGAGTGAGTGAGTGAGTGAGTGAAAGCAGCAGCTTGAACCGGAAGGAGCAAAGACATTGGATTCCGTAAGGGGCAAATGGAAAAGGGGGGGGCGAAAGGGGGGGCAAATGGTTAAAGCTGGAAGCAATGAGAAAAGGTCATTTTAATTGACAAGGTCGGAGGCGGACCGGCGGAGTAAAGGTAAGGTGAAACTTATAGGCCTAAAGGAGGCGCGGGATCGAGAACGCGGTCGTGTTGAGGAGGAGCCGGGCCGGGTGTAATTCATCAGCAGTGAGGAACCCAAAGAGGAGGTCCAGGGCCAGGGTCGCGAAGGTGATCCACCTGAAGGAGATGGACTCGTTGGTGGTGGCCGAGGATCAGGGAAATTGGTGCCGGAGTCAAGATTTGCATCATCCCGAGTGCAGTAAGAAGATCAAGACGTTCCTGGGTGTAGTAGAGACCAGTGTTCACCGCTTGAACTGATTGAAGGAGAGCGGAATCCAAACCGCGAAGTTGAGTCAGAACATGTGAGGTGATCTGATCCAAGGAAATGGAGGAGGCAATAGCAAAGCGAAAGCGGAGGAGGGCAAGGGTCATCTCCAGGATTCCATGTACATGAAGAAGTTCCCGATGAAATATCGCTTGGGCAATCCGAGGAATCCCTTCAACAGGAGAGAGGCCAGCGGGAGCAGGTTGCATGGCGGCAAAGGGAATAGGAGGAGGAGGAGGACCAGGACCCCAATGGGCCAAAAAGATCTCTGACCGCTCTGGTTATACCTTGTGCCACGCCAAAATGGCGGGCAGCTTGAGTCCGCTGTGGACACGTTGTGGCGTGCCCGAAAGCTGCCTACTAGTATTCAACAATTCATCAAGTCTTGGCAAATAACTTTGTTTTGCGGCTTAAGCCTCCTACTGTCTGCTCCGGAAACATGGACAAGCCGCCGTTCAACGGAGCCACACCCGGGCTGGCATGAAACCAGACACACTCGAGATATTGCATACTGAATTGAAAGCCGCTCGCCACACGGCGACCTAGGTAACCATATTCTTGAGCAGACCATGTAAGGGGGCCTGATCATCTTGAAGGTCAGGAAAAAGGAGAAGACCGCAAGCGTTCAAAGTCTCAACGTCCAACTCTGGAATCGCGAAACGACCAGGCGACGACGAACATGCACAGCTGCAGAGCTCGTTAGAACTTTACATCATTTGATGAACCCAGAAACAGCCTGAGCGAGGAAAAACCAGTGGAGTCAATGTGTTAGCAGGTACGCGGAGGTGATCAATCTCCGCTTCCCCCATCGTGCCCCCTGCATCCTAGATGTGCAAAAACCGAATGAGAATCAATTTAAAGAGTTTCACACACACGCGCACACACACACACGTATTTGGTTTTTCATTCATATGACATCAATGTTTGGTGTTTTGGGGCCTTGTTTTTTAATCTGTGCATAAAGACTGGATGCAGGAATGTCTTGGCATGTCTGACGGTTTGAAATCGGCCCACTCGGACAGTGCCAGATGCCCTGCAATATCCATAAACGTTTCAGAGTCTGCCGCCAACATCTAACGGAGTTCGCCAAAACTTTAAGAACTTCACATGGTTGCCCAACAACGTAACGATGAGAGATAAAGGTCGAGGATTGAGTTGGTCCAAACGAATGCCCAACCCTGCAAGAGGTGGATGTTTGTGCTGCTTGGCGTACTCCGGACGCATGTTTTTCATGTGTACGGGAAACTATATAGGCGTTGCATGGTGGGACTTAGCCATCTACGTTTGCAGTTTGAGACTGCTGGCCCAGATTTATCTACCTTGTTTGGCTCAAAGATTTGAGAAAAAGCGGCCAGGCCTCAAGGGCCATGGGCGCTGTTTAGCCCTTGGCAAAAACAAACCAATTCTTAAGAACCCAGTCTGAAATTTTATTTCAGATTTGAAAGATGTGTCCCAAATTGTTTGATGTCGGCCCCAAACGTCGGTCGAAATTTGCTAAGGCGTGCGCCCCATGGGCAGCGGCAGGCTGAAGGACTGGGCCTGTCATATCTTCAACGTTTGTTGATGGAAATGGGTGTTACTCGGTTAAGTAAAACATGTTCTAAAGACCATCTCTTCTTGGTCGCAAAGATAAGTTGAGACCGCTGAAATTCTGAAACAGATGTGCAGACAGGTGCAGAAAAATGGCTCGCTCCAGCTCGCTTTCAGCTCAGGTTGACGTTTTGGTTCCGAACAGTTCCATGTTGTTTCCGCCAGCTGCAAGATAAGTGATTGGGAATAAGATGTCTTCTCAAGCAGGCTATGTGTTTGAGGTCTCGTGACAAAGCGCGGCGCAGTGCGGAATCCTGGACCTGACAACACTCAAATCAAGAGTGGGCTGCAAGTCAATATGCATATTATGTTGTAGATGGTTATCATGGGCACTCAAATCCATTCACTTCCAAATCTGGTTTCGTCTCCTCGGCCCCTTTTGTTGCATTGCTGCGTGCCGGAGGGAGCAAGTCGCGAGGAAGAGACAAGAGGACGGCGTTGTTGACAACTTCGGACACTATGTCTTGAAACGAACAAACATTTTTTTTTGAATGGTACTTTTCAACTATATACCCCCTCAGGGCCTGAACACGTACCGATCACATATGTTTATACTTTTTGTTTGAAGTTGCAGGAAGAGTCGCTCGAGATCGTGGGGGCCTCGTTGCAACTTCCAAGAAAACGTCTTTCATAGCAAAGCGGGAGGAACTCGCCTTGTGCCCAGGCGGAGGCGGCGGAATGGCTCGCGCTCCAGGCGCCCTTTGACACCCGTTTTCGGAAAAAGTGAGCGTCTTCGCTGCTTCGCTTCGCATGGCGTGGGCAAATCCAAACAGTTCTTGATTGGAACAATTTTTGAGGAGTTCCTACCGACGGAGCCATGTTAACAACCAGTGAAGCTGCCCGATGTGCGATAGGTCTGACTCTGCTCCCAAGAGGCATGGTGGGTTGCCAGACGGCCTGGATATGAAAAAAACAATTATCCAGACTTTGCATGTATGGATTGATGCTGTGATTGGACCCTTTGCGACTCGAAAGGATTAAAGCTTTTTGCAAGTGGCTTCTTGTTCTCCGGTGTGGCACACTCCATATCCCTGTTTTGCCAGGAAACAAGAGAAGAAGGAGAAGGTGAAGGAGGGTTGTGGTGGAAGATACGTTTATATAGCTGATATTGCAATGGTTGCTCCTGTGCTAAAGCTTAGAAGAGAACTCCTTCACAATTTGCGACCCACAGGAAACCATCCCCTTTGGGAAGCGCGCCCCCCCTTGAGATTCACGCCACACAAAGATACGATCTCATGATCGTCAAAAGATTGGATACCCTTCAGAAACGCGGATTCCAAGCGGTTCTGACAATTGTCAGTCTGTTGAGTTTGAGTGCCAACCATCGACGAATCGACCCGCAGATTGTATGGTTCTGTTCTGAAATCTATTTTTTGGTGCCTTGGCAACTGGCAGAGGCCGAGAGGATTTGGAGAGGGTCTCGGAGAGGGGAAGTGATTCAACTAAAGATGCGAACGCTGCATTGCAATTGCTTTGCGTGTTTTGTTTTTTGTGCATACACTCCGGAGAGGTCTTGTTGCACTATCGTGGCCGGGTGTTTCTCCAGCAAGACATGGGTGATGGGATAGTGGAGATTCCGCGATTTAAAGGGCAAAGGCTGCAAAGGAACCTTCGACGTTTCAAAGCACTTCCCTTCCTCTCTCTTTTTTCTCCTATTTTTCTTGCCTTTTCTCCTCTTCTACCAAAGGTCTTTCTTTGGTGCTCACCAGACAAGATGCACCTATGTATATATATATATATACATGTGTTTGTAAATGTGGTTTTCGCGGCCTGGTAGGCGCCCTGGCAGGACCACTGCAGATAGTATCATAATGACCATTCACCATTCTATTTTTTACGAAGGCATATTTTTCAGATTTGCTTTTGTTAGTTTCTTTTGCATTTGCTGCTGTTTTGCATTTGTTGCATTTTTGCTTTTTGGCACTTGCTTATATTTTTCTGCTTTGTCATTATTGTTATTTATCTTTTTCAATAACAGCAAGCCTGTCCCTTGGAACTTCTTAAGGCATGTTGTTGAGGTTGCTTTTGTATCTTGTCATGGGTTCTCTGGCGACGAGGCGCTGCACCCTCCCCGCCTACCCCCCTCCAGCGCCACAAAATCTGCACTGCACTATTTCTTCCGCTATGCTGTGCCTGCCACAAAAACGGAGTCTTTTGAATGTCGACCACGCTGCACTGCTGACTGCTGACAGCTGTGGATGTAGAGGGTGCGATGCCCAAAACGTTCTAAATACCAACAGAATGTCAAGACAGGACACCCCGACTGATCCCCAACTTCTGACATGGGCTGCGGATGTGGAGTGTATGTCCAAGGGTTGTATATAAACAGGGCCCGAACTGCCGTAAATAGCAGCGAACTGTGAGCCCCCCAGGATATGGACAAAAACTGCCCCCAAAGAATCCCGAATTAATACCGCACCCAAGAAGTGCACATTTATGATTCGTTCTGCTGGGGGATACAACGGCTTCCAGTAGAAGCCAATCAAACTGCGAGTGCAAAGCTGTTCACTGCGGTCTGGAATCGATCGCGCCAGGCACAGCATGTCGCACATCTTCAGCGTGGAGGATGAGGACTCGTACTTTGAGCTCTTATCCTATTTTGGGGTGAGCTCCTTCAGTTGAATTCAACATGCACAGCTCAAGACTTGAGAGTGCAGAGCTGACGAGATTGCTTTGACTTGCTGTGACAGAGTGATAGGCATCACTGTGAGAATCCCTTCCGAATATTGATGCATGCATGAATTCTGACATGAAGTCCTGGGCCTTTGGGTGATAGGTGTCGCAGTGATAGGTGACACTCTGATCCCATTTTGTGTTTGGTTCCTGCATACATGTCCTGTAGCCATGAACATACAACTGTCATTGTCCCTTTGTTCCTGGATCGCCAAGCAACCAGGAGCCCGAGTTGTACGCATCGTACCCCCAGAAAACTTTGAGGACTCGTGGGGATAGGTGTCGCCCAACGAGCACTTTGGACGAGACGTGCCTTGAGTCTTGAGTATTTTGGCTTCCAGAAATATATAGTCCTATTATTATATACCTATGATGTTATATATGCATACTGTATACTGTATATACATATATAATAGAATATGCTAGCGGCATTACGGTAGGTATATATTTCATTTTGACGGCTGTTAAGGGCACAGGTCCAGAGAACCTCCTTTTGCTTTCAGGACCACCTCCGCCACCTCGCTGTGCGAGAACGAAGGTGCATCAGGTGCATCATTATCTTTATGTTTTTGATTGAGCGGAACCTTCTAATAGCTTTTTGTTACTACTAGTAAGGCACCTGTTACTACTAGCGTGGCACTTGTTTCTATGAGAGGAAGCTTTCAAACCACAACTTGTGCTTCGACCTCTCAGGAAGCATTCACCTTTGTGCGACGAGCATAGACCTGACACTTCGCAGGAATGCCCGAAGTGCAGAGCGCTGATCAGACCTGGGTCGAACGCAGCTGGTTGGGAACTCAAGATTCGGTTGAGGAGTTGGTCTCATTAAAAGGACAGACCATGGAATGCTTACGTCGCTCATCCTGTCCGCATGGGGGTTTCGTTTGGTGACCACGCGAGCCGGTTTGGTCTCAGACCAAAGCTCAAGAACTTCTACACATGGTGTATGGTAAGGACGCTACTAGGGGCTCCTGGCATCGCTACTAGTAACAAGAAGCTACTAGGGGCTCCTGGCCTTACTACTAGGAGCAAGGACGCTACTAGGGGCTCAAGTGTTGGCCAGAAGGGGTCTGAAGCTCCCGGCTCGTGTGGCGAGCCTTCTGAGGAACAGGCTGGAAGCGATTAGGAATAGGTCTCATGCCAGGCTGGGAGAAGAAGTGACTTTTGTAGAGAATGCCTCGATGCTTTCAAGTACATGATTGAATCTCAAAGCTGCAACTCACAAGACTACGAGAGCAAGTGGAAGGTTTCTTCCGGAATGAAAGGTGTCACCAAGAAGTGGACGGTTCATGTCTAGCCGCACGGTGGCTGCCTGAATAAAGAAAGAGATCGATTCCCATGCTTTCAGTCCAGTGCAGAGCAAAGTGCAATTTCCGACAGGGCATTGGATGGCTTGTCAGAGGCGCAAGAAACGTTTTTGGCAGCAGGTGTTCATTCAGCTTTTGCACACCTACCTTCTCGTGTTTGGGTTTTGAGCGCTCATCATTTCCTCACCTTGGATGCCTCGTTTGGGGTCACGTCGGACGGTGAGAGGCCTCGGCTTCAGATGCCAGCGCTTCAATGTCAACTGCGACTTCGACCATCGAAGTGGAGCCCATGAAGCTCCGGGTCAGGACGACAGGGACGAGCATGAAAGAGCTCTGAAACGACAGCCTTTTTCGAAGTGCGTGAAGTCAATGGTCCAGACCATGTTATTGTGTCAACTTTACTTCTGGTTATTGGTCTGTCTGTGTCTCGTCCGTCACTCGGTGTGCTAGATTCTGCCTCCTTGGGAGAAAGTTGCTGCGAGAAAGCACGTGTTTCGAGATTTCGAGCTGCATCCTTCCTCTGTGATTTGATGAGAGTGACTTCGGAGGAGATTCAGGAGATCATCAACGGACTACGTTGGTACAGAGTTAGAAGCAGATCAGAGTGAAGAGCTCAGAGATTTGTCAACCAGCTTGTGAACTTCGAGAAGATATTGCATATTTGTGGTCCAGATACAAGATGTATGCATATATTATATATATATTACATACATATAATATATACATACACACACTTGCAACAATGATCTGTGTGGAGCGTCTGAGGTGTTTTGTCCTTTAGGCAGGAACTTTGCAGTTGAAGACACAGAATATACCTACATTCCTGTTGATTTACAGGGCCTTGAGGGACTTTGACAAACCAGTCCATGATCATGGTCTCATCAGTACCTGTTAGTCTGTGCTGTAATGCTGTAGTGCTTTGTTATATAGTTTTTTGTTTCTTGCTGGACTTGACACGTCCAGGTCCACAGGCTCCGAGGAAAAGACTGGACGAGGACTTCAGTCGAAAATGGGGAAGCCCCACCTTTGCCCGTCGCCTCTCTAGGCTCTAGATTTCATCAACATTCCCAACCATACGTAGGGAGGCCAACATGTTGACTCGGAGATCTGAAGTTGTGGTGCAGGACGCATAAACGCATCGATGACAGGAAGACTGACACTGCTCATTTCATAACATGCAATCCAATTTTGTCGGGGAATAACACTGCTCTTTGTAGAGCCGCTCCACCCGGAAGTGCAGTGGTGCACGTAGTTCACAAAAAAGAGAAGCACATCTCCCATTCCAATCTCTCTCTATATACTGTATATATATATATATTGCCTTTAGGCCCTTAATAAGGAGATCTTTAGGAAATTAGTCCTGAGATGACACTCTTGCCAAACCTTTGGCCCAGGACGAATTCGGAAAAGCTCAACCTTTTGCCTGGCTGACCTAGAGCGGTCACTGCTGCAAGGCCCGGTGTTTGGTACCATGTCTGGCCCGCAGGACGGTTAGCAACGGTTAGAATGGGAACAGACTCGACTACACGCATACAGCAAATCTTAGCGAGACAGCCTGGCCAGGTGGCCTATCAGCTTTCGGTCCAGTCCCGCTTCCAGGCATCACAGAATTCATCCAGTTTGTGAACCATTCGCTTTCACTGCTAATCCGGTTTATTTGAATGAATGAAACTGTCAAAATGTCCCAAGTCATGGCAAGCAATGTGCCTTCTTTTTCAATTGTGTTGTATGTTTTGTCAAGCAGGCTTCGAAACGACCATTTCCAGTGACGTGAGTCTTGGCAAGGTGCAGTATCTCCAAGCAAAGAGCGATCTCCAAGCAAAGAGCCATTTCATGTTGCAGGCCCCAACTCCAACAGTCTGCTGCGTCATGATTTGTTCGATTTGATTCTTAACCATTGTCCTTAGATTGGTGGTTGAAACCGCTACACAGAAATCCTTCCTTCCAGTCATCAATAATTCTTCTCTGCTCTATTTTATCATCCACAAAGTAGAGACCACAAGATTGCAGAGGACTCTTTGTCGACCAGGACGGCGGAGAAAAAGTTCCAGCTATCACCTCTGCGATCTCGAAGGCGACGAAACGTCAGGGAACCGAACCGACGAAGCACGCGGAAACGAACGGACTCGCCGGGGACGACGGTCGACCGCCCGCAGGAAGCGTCGCGGTCGCTGGTGATGGAGCGGACGCGCTTCCGCCCGTCGACGTGCCGAAAAGCGCCGACCTCCCCAAGCTGCGTCGACCCGTGCGGAAGGTGCGGTCGGACCTGGAGGGACGGGGAGGACGCAACGGTGGCGACAACGACTAGACGGCGACCAAAGTGATTTGAGCGACGACCACTTTCGAACAGACGATAGATTTTTGCAGGAAACCTTGTAAAACGATAAGGTCCACTTGAGCTTTCTAAGAACACTCAACCTGTGTTCATTACCTATATTCATATGTGGCGTCAATATTCTTAAGTTTTTTTTTTGACGCCGAGCACCAAGAGAACCTTTTCAAACCTTTGCTCAGCAGGCTGAAGGATTTCAAGCCAAGCGTGGGGGGGAGTGGCATGCAGCCTTGTATGGATACCGAGAGCTGCAGCCCAGCTGCCGCCCACCCCACCAATTTTGGAAAGGCGGAGACACCCTGGCTGTAAGGCATTTGTAAGCCATCATGAAAAGCCCAGATGTTGAAAAGTTCCCCGAGCTGGCTGAAGTTGGTATACTGACTCACCCGGTGTAAAACAAGTCCAAAGCAGGATCGCGCCATTTGCTTCTGCCCTCATGCTGGCCAAAATCCTCTGATAGTAAAGGGTGTTGGGAAGGGTGTGGAGGCACCTCTGAGGCACTAGATCCTTTCGAAGCAGGGTAGCACCAACTGCCGCACAAAGTACCCACCACAGTCGGCCGTAACAGGCAGCAGTTTCCAACTTTTCTTTGATTTGAAATTGCCCACAAACAATCATGTTGGGACCAAATCCAACCCACGCTGAGTACCTTTGAAATTGTTTCGTCCATCTCCAATCCCTCATTCGTCCTGGTGTTGTGCACTTTGACTGCGCCCCCCTCGGGCGAAGTCAAACGCTGGGCGGCTGGGCATAGAAAAGAACCACGCAACGATTTGTACCGCGAAGCAATGAGAAGAACAACCCATTGGAATGGCGTTCCGGCGTTCCGCACACAGCGATTCCTTTGTGGAGGCCACGGAAGAAGGAGGATATGGCCGTTGCCGACACGTGGCTCCAACCATCCATCCATTGAGCTACAAGGTTGCAGAGGCGAACTGGTGCATGGGTGATGTAGCTTAGAAGGATTTTGCAATTCTTTTGCTACGGCTTTTTTGCTACGGCTGGAACCGGCAGTGTTGACTTAGTGGCAGTTTGGCCTAGGTTGGGCGTTGTGGGCGTCAGTAGACACAAGTTCAGCTTTGGCAGCGTGCCACATATCCGAGCTACACGCCCTGCATGGAGCCGTTCTTTTTCTCAATGAACGATGAGCATTGTGTGTCCGCGCTCGCCCGCAGGATCGCTTACCAGCCCTGAGCCTGCAGGGAGCATGAGCGGCTGAAGGAAAGTTTTTGACTCAAAGTCTTAGATCTTAGGCCTTAGGGTGGTAGCTTGACAGATATAGAAAGGCCCCAGTGAAGGTACATGAACAAAGATGGAGGCCTTCGGTTCATTGATGAGGCTTCTATTGCGTAGTGAGCTAGCTTTTGCTTACGAGGAAGCTACGGAGCCGGGGGGGATCCATCTTCCCGATTACACTACACTGGGAGCCAAGGAGTTACAGGGAGTGCCCCAACACCTTGCTAGTGAAGTAGTCCAACGTACCAAAAAAACTTTGAATTGGATAGACGACGTTGTCATTGTATATCTACGAACCATTTTCCAAGTAGATCATAGCCCACATGTGCAGCATCATTGGCATTGCTAACTATGCATGTGACATACTCACAGCCCTTTTGTCAGACAGGAAAAAGTGAGGTAACCCCTCTGGAGCTCTGAGTGAAATGCCCCTAGGTCACTGGGATCCCGGGTCCGATTGCGAGCCATCGATTTGGGGCCTTTGGATTCAAACAGCTGGACTGGTGAAGAATTGTTGTAAGCAACACTCTGTACCCAGTACATTGTGTCAAAGAGTCATTGGTACAAGGAGAAGATGGAGGAGATCAGAGAAACCCTTCAGACAATAGCACGTGCCGTGGGTTACTGCGATGCAAGCTGGTGACGCTGTTGGCTTCAAATATGCAGTTGGGCTCCAAAGTTGGGCTAGCGTGTTGACTAGTGAAAGGGAGGCAAGGGTGAAAAAAGCACTGTTACATCCTCTTCTTGACGTTGACCGCGCCCCAAAAAGGCTCAGTTTTTTCCAGGGCTTCGTGGGAGCGAAAGATAAGATCAGACGTGGGGTCCGGAGTCCAGTGGACGTCCTTCACAAAAAGCCGCGCCAGATGCTACTTGTAGATGCTGCTCTTTCGGAGGTCAGATGGATTTGTGTCAGTTGTCCCAGGCCACAAAATGCGACAAGTGGTGCACAGGCATGTGTCTGATTATGGTTGAAAACCATCCAACGCTGACCTTCGAAAACTGAGAACTGCAAGGCACAAGCCGTCATAAGGGTAGCTCCCGGTTTTTTGTGGTATCAAGGAATTTTAAAGTGATCAGCGCTTTGGCCAAGCTTGGTGCTAAAAATCAAAAGCAAAAAACCAGACTCTTCGACACAAGCCATGACATGTTGGCCGGTGTTTGCCCAAACCTTGCCGGCTCGCAGGTTGGTGCATCATTCTTGTGTTGATTCCTGGTTTCTCCCCGAGGTTCCCAAACTTGGCAACACTACCCCACGTGTTGACTATCCTAATGAACCGTGAGAGACAAGTTCAAGGGCTGCAATTTCGTGACGAAGAATGGCTATAAATTGACGTGTTGTGAGCTGGCCAAGGCCTGTTCGATTTTTCCGCCTTCTGAACAACTCAGACTTGAGACGGAGTGTAGCATTCCGAGTGGTTTTAAGAGCTTTACCTCCAGTTTGGGAGATTGAGCTAGACGAGCGTGATGAACGATGGCAGCATTCGCTAAATGATTTGTTCCGGTGCTCAGTTTCTTCCGACAGACGAAAGTCCTTGATGCTCTGGTTGTAGTGGTTGAGCAGTTGTTTGCCACTGATCAGCTTATCGCTCGAGTTAGTTAGACATTCGGGGGTGTCTGTTATTTCCAATTCGTAGGACATGTGATGACCCCGCCCACCCCGCTGGCAGACCAGGTGGCAGCTGGGGTCGTCGAATTTTGATGAGTGGGCTCCTTGGTACTTTTCCCTCGCGGAATGTACCGAATTTCAATCTCGCTGTCCGACATAGTGGCAGCTGGGAGTTCGTCGAACTTTGATGAGGAGGGTACTTGGGCTTGAGGGTGCCGAATTCTGACCGGGAGTACGGTCGACGAAGGGACTGCCAAGCAACTCCCGCCGCTCCCCAACTCTTTTCGCCGAAGATGAACTCCGCTTTTGACTCAAATGTAATTCTATTGAAGTTTCAAGCAGTGCAGCTGTTTGACTTTGACGTGCTTGGACCGTGTGAATCCTTTCCTGAGTCAACTTTCCACCTGTTGCTGTACCTGATATTATCTTTCTTTTTAATACCCAGTTCCTTGACCTCGTCAAGAAACTTGGGCTGGCACGGAATCCGCTGACTGAGATGCAAAAGTGTGGTTAGTGGGGGCTGGAATGTGCTGCAAGTGTGTGTTTGTGGCCAGAGTTGTCATCCGTGTTTGATACCGATGCACCGCTTGACAAGGCAGTCGAAGAGCTTCACCCGTCGATCTCAAAGGGTAGTTCCCTGGGACTCACGGCGCAAAACCGCCCCCTTCGAGGGGCTGGTAAAGACATGCTACGCCTCCTGCCTGGCAGTCTGCCTTGTGAAGCTCCTTTGACAGGGTGATTTCCACAGGTCCTTTGTTTACCGATCCAGGAGAAGGTGCGGCGACCGACGCCCACGCCACCGAGGTGGGTGACGCAAAAGACCGGTGATCGGAAAGAAGAGTTCATTTAGATCCATTTAGGTTGGAGAAAAGGGGTGTTATGGTTTGAAAAGTCCAGGATTTGCTGTGCCATACATTTGGTAGGGATGTTTAGCGCAAAGTATGTCATAGTGGACAGGTGCGCAAAGCTGCCAGTAATGCTTTGAGCGAGTTCAAGTTCCCTGCCCGAGAGCCGTGCACCTTTCAATGACAGGTCCGAGTCTGAGCAAAAGCCGTCACCTCAGAGAGGGTGGCACTGAGGATGAGTGGCACTAGCACGTTTGCACAAGTACCTGGTGATTCCTGAAAGCGGCGGAGCCTTTCAGGGACTCGCCACCGTGACTGGTGGACGGACGACCGATGTCGGTGCTCCGATGTCGGTGCTTTTGAGGAACCTCTCGGACTTCGAGGCGGAGCAGTCGAGGTGGAGCGTCGAATGGGTGAAGAGCATGACGCTGGGTGAAGGGCCATATTCTACTAGATTAGTTGGTAGAAGTTCGAAGGAAATGTAAACGAATTCTGCTGGCGAAAGTTTTTAACTACTTTCTTTTTCAACAGCATTTTTATGCATTTTTCTAGATACAGAGTTGTTTAATCAAGACAAATCAAGATAATATGGTTTTGTTTGCTAATCAAGCTTGGGGGTTCCTGCCATTCAAACCTCTTTTCTCTTGGTGGGGAACGGGCCTGTTGGTCGACAGAGACTGAGCAGGTCTCCCTCTCGGCCGAAGCGCCAACCACGGCAGCAGCCGCCACGACCTTTGGGAAGGATCTGGAAGGATGCCGCTGGAGGGCTTCTGGCATTGTCTGACAGTCTTTGAGTCTTTTTTCTTATGCATCGATCACACTCACAGACTTGATCGAGGATTTCACTTGATACTTCCTGTGGCTGAGGTCACGCTCACCAGAGCGCGTGCCTCCCACGCAGTTCGAGGATTACGAGCCTGCAGGGGATGGCGGGAAGCCTCAAAGTGTGAGTGCATGTGAACGCATATTTTTGAGGGGCTCCTTGCATCGCTACTAGGAGCAAGAAGCTACTAGGGGCTCCTGGCCTAGGACGCTACTAGTATGTCGCAAGGAAATTGGTTGGAGGCTAAAGAAAACGGAGCATTGAGTCCTGAGCTGTCGAGGACACTCCCACCATTTAAAGTTATACTTGCATCTCAAGCTAAGGATCGGGACAAAGCTGTTTTGCAAAATATTCCCTAAACAGCCTGGCTGTTGGGGTTCTAGATATTGTCTCCCCAAGATTGATCGTTCCATTGACATTTTTTTCTGCAATCTCTTTCCACTTATCTTACTCTAAATAGATTTGGTCTCGGCATTGTTTCCACCACGCCTTTTCTGTCCTCGGCTGCATTTGGAGTCACAACAGCCCTCCACTCCACTTGTGCATCTTCCTGTCTGTCCGGTCCTCTGTGTACTGCAATGCTGCAGACCTGAGCACAACACCCCCACTTGATGTGTCTCTCACCATGTTCCCCTGCAGCTGCTGGTGCAGTTTTGTATTCACTTCCCTTGCCTCCCCTCAATTCTTATCTTGCGGTGTCGTGCAGGGTTATCTATGTCACAAGACGTCACAAGTTTTTTCCTTTTTTGTCTTGGTCATTGGTCCAAGATCTCTCTCCCTCTCTAGTGCGCTGATGATTGGTGTGCTGAGGCAGCGGCTGGTATGTTGCAATCTCAGCGACAATTGTGCAACCTTGCCGTTCTGACAGAATTCATGTCAGGCACACACACACACACTTGCAAAGCCCCAAGTTGTACACTGCTGAATTGCTCAATCCAGTTGCACAAGAAGGCTTCTTGTACGTAGGGTTCTTATGCGCTTGAAAGGAGTTGCATAGTTGGATGCAGGATTTTATCTCCTATACTCCTGTTCGTTTCTCTCCTATTCCATCTACGAGCTTGGCCCATGGTGTTTCCCTTGAAGTCCGGGTTCATTGCACGGAATCGTTGCTTCGCAGCTGTCAAGTGGCACAGGTGAGCTGAATTGAAAGCTGTTGCTGATCAAGAGCCACCAAACTTGCTCAAGCCAGCTCAGAACATGAGCCCTCCAGGGAGCGATATTCTCTGCTGCTAGGCTCAGACAAAAGATTTTTCTGACACCACACTGACAGTCCTCAGCAGGCCGTTCTTAGCTGTGTACTTCTTTACCTTCAACCAAACACCCAAACACCAAGACTTGAACCACCCAGAGCCCCGCGATGCGCCTTTGTCCTTGGCACTCCATCTTTCGTCCAAGCACTCGGTCGAAGCAGACCGGTCGAAGCAGACCGCACTCGTGTCGCGTCAATGCGAATCCCGACGGAGATGGTTCGAATCGACACGCCACGACGAAAAGAAGCCGTGTGCGATGCGTGTGCGGAAGGTCGGTCGATTTTGCGGACATCATGATTGGAATAGTAAATGAAGATGGTTGTCGACCCAACACCATTCAATCACACATGACTTTCCCTTTTTCAGGTCCGTGGTTTGAGACAGGTATGGACTGCATTCTGTGCTCCAGTGCAAGTATGGCATGTCGATTCTGCGTTTCCAGCCCTTTCCCGTACCAGCATTGAAGCAGTGCACGGTCCAAGGTGTATAAGAAGACAGGAAAATGGAAGTTCCACCCGGAGACAGGGCTCTACTTCCATTTGAAGTCGCAGGTGCCCCACGAAGTTGCATGCCGTGCGTTCTAACAGAAGGATCATGATGGGTGTGCCTCAAAAATCGGCTCACCCTCCGAACGCCTTTGGCGGAAAAGTGATGATGCTACAGAGTCAGTGAATATGCATCCTTCCGTTGTAAACCGGCTGAAAGCTTCAGCTCTTTTTGCCACAGTTTTGGTGGGGTGGTATGGACCGCGTGCGAGTCCATGAATTTGCAGCTCAGGTGTACTACACACCAAAAGAAAGCGACCACAGATTCTTCAGAAGGATAGATGATGATGAGGCCTGTCCCCAGATGGGCCAGAGCGGTGTTTTTTCAGACGAACTTTTATGGCTATGGGTCAAAGCCTGGCTGACCCAAATGAACAAAACAGGCAAATCAAATCACTGTTTGGAATTGATTAAGAGCCAAATTGCTCAGGATCCACTTGTCCGAAAAAATGAAGCAGCGGCAGCCCAAGCGGGTGGGCAAACCTGCGTTCGTGAGCCGGCATGCTTTGAAGAGATGGCCATAATGTTGGCTCTGGGAAACACCACCATCTTCAGAGACCCCTGGAAACCACATGGTACTGGCAAGTTTGAGACAGTAGAGACAGTAGACATGTTCACTCTACGTAGCGAACAGCCCATGAAGACCCGCAGAGGATCAAGTCCAAACAAACCTGCGATGACATCGACGATCAACTTGCAAGCAGCGCATCTCCGATACATTCCAAGAAGCAGGCCCAAAGCCCGGAGTGCCCCAAACACTTTCAAAAAATTCAGGACTCAGGACACGGAGATGGCAAAATTGAAGCCCACAAACCAATCAAGTGTGACCACTAGTCACAGCCACCAGCCATGACAACGTATCACTGTGTGTACATGTACTATGTTGCTATCTACTTTCCAATTTGGCGAGACACAAGGGCTCACCAAAGTGACCACCAGCTATGACATGGCGAGAGAAAAGGATTGACAAACATGGCTAATCTCATCTCAGCCAATCTCAGCCAATCTCCGCGTCTCACCGCGTTAACCCAGCCTCCTTGATCAGGGTGAGTACTCTTCCCTGATCCCCTTCTGTTCAAGGGAGCGCGCCGGCAGACGCTTGGTTCACATGTTCAGACATTTGGGATTGCTTTCAAACAGGATGGACACCGACAGTGAATCAGTTCTCATGTCTTTTGTTCTACCGTCTCCGACCAAGCCGAAGTTGACCCGAGGTCGGAAGAGATGCGCAAGGCAATCTCCAAGACTGAATTCATGAAATTCGAGGTGGATGGTAGCAGTGTTCAGGCTGCGGAACGGGAGCTCGGAGTGGCGGAGGATCAGCTTTGGGCGCCTGTTGACATCACTTTCCAGGTCATGTGTGACGCTTCACAAGCTTCCCAGATCTACCAGAGATTCTGATTGATGATAGTAACAAAGCTTAAGGGCATCGCTACTAGGAGCAAGGACGCTACTAGTAGCTCCTGGCATCGCTACTAGTAACATACTAGTAACAAGAAGCTAAGAATTCTGATCGATTTCAGCCGAACAGCGGCCGTTCGCTCGCGCTTTTCGCCCGCGGAACCTCCGAGCGCCAGGAGTCGGCCGCCGATCCCACGGGCCCAGCGCCCATGGTGGGCCCGCCTGAGCCACCTCCGAAGGAGGAGAAGAAGGAGGAGGCAGCGCGGCTGGCGCGGCGTTGGTTTGAGAAGGGAACTCTCAAGCGGCTTTGGTTCTGAAGGCTATCACGTCAGCCCGGAAGTACAAGGAAAGTACCATTGCATACATACATACAGTAGATTGCATAAATACGTCCAGGTCTGCTCTTCTTTGGAGTGCCACTGTGTTCAGGACCTCCGGCTGGAGGGCCGGGTCAACAAATGGGACTCGGAGAAGGCCGTGACCCGCAAGTCCGTAGGGCCTCGATGGGCCTAGATGGGCCTAGGGTCTTTGGGTAAAGTAGGGATCCATATATAGGCTGAATTCTATCCAATCAAGAATCAAGGTACCGCCACGCTCCCCTTGTGATGCCAGCGGCAGGGCTTCGGCTTCATCATGCCCGCGGGCAAAGAGGAAGGCGGTGACATGGGGAAAGGCGGGGTCGATCGGTGGATGTCGGCACCTACTGGAAGGCCCACTCTGACCAAAAATTAGAAGTCATAATGATATCATGATATATCACAGAACCAAAAAAGAGCCGCCATGGCATCCGCCTCACCAGTCATGCACCAGTCCGGCCACGGGGCCCCCGGAGGTCTGTTTGTGCACCGGAAGTTCATCGTGGGAAGCACGCCCAGCAACCCGATCAACCTCAAGGAGGGAGTGAAGGCGGGACTGCGTTACAGTCGAAAACGGTGTCTCAAAACAGATGGAAAGCGGTTTCCAACACATTTATATAAGAGGGGATTCAAGGGATTCACCTATTTTCCATTTGAATGATTGATTTACCTTTTTCTCACAATGTTTTCCAACTTTCATTGCCTCCCACTTGGCGACTCGTCTAGCGCTTGTTGCCCATACTGTGTGGTCACACAAACATTTTTTTTTGCCAGGTGAGCTTCAAACAGGGGACTCAGGACAGCAAGCCTTGTGCCCTGGAAGTGCTCATGCTTGGTGAGGGGGGCCCAGATCAGCGTTGATGATGTTCGAGAGTCGTTCCAAGTCATTCCTGCACTTGCAGAGTTTCTCACAGATGGCTTCTGGCCTTGTCAACCTCATGCTGTCTCATTTCAATCCTGACTTTGCCCAGCAGAGTGTTCGATGTCCCTTTTCCAGTCAATTACTCAAAAACGAGCATGGAGTGGGGCTGCCAAGAATGCACTTCTCGTTCAGAGATGACTGCTGCAGATTGCCAACTTCGTTCGTTCTTGGAAGAGTAACTCAACCCGAGCGGAGTTGTAGGCGCCGATGGGAAGCCTCTGCCGATTCATGCGGGTGCGCAGACCTTGGAGGAGGGCACGTCATGGCTGCATAGGCCCTTTGACAAATGCACAATTGATATAATCGATTCTTTTTGATCTTGCATGCGGTTTCATGTTGTATAGTGTGTCTACCATACCTATTATGAGCAAGGGGCCACGTCGAATAGGACACCAGTGCGCAAGAGTGGGGATACCCAAACCATGTTACTTTGACATTGCTTGGTAGTCCATCTGGTGGATTTATTTAGGTCTTCCCCGTGCATCTTTTCGAAACTGTAAGGTGCCAGAGTAGGATGGGTAATCTTTAAAACACGAGTGAAGAAGAAGTAAGCCTTTCGAGGAGAAGAAGAAGAGCTACCATGTCTCTGCGGAGTCCTTGGGTCTTCGGGTGCACTGTGAGAGCTGGCCTGGAGCTCATGAGTCCTAGCCCACTGATCCTTTTACGGCAGAGTACTTCTTAGAACGCAGTTCATTATCAGCTTTGTGATCTTTGTGCAAAATCTGCTGATGTCCGACGTGTGACGTGTGCTTCATCTTGGCCTAGGGACTAGTGAGTCCAGTGGGCTTCAACTCAGTTGCATGGGCTAAGAGGGGCGAAGACTCAAGCAATCCCTCCTTGTTTTCATGGTTTCCCAGCTGACCAGGTGGGTCTGCATTGTCTCACTGAGGCCTGGCCTGAAGAAGACGCTGCAGGACCGCTATGTCTTGGATGAGCCGCTGGAGGTGCGGCTCAGAGCGGGACTCGGGCAGTGCCTGGCGGGTGTCTGGTGTCGCAGCTGGATCAAACCCTTTCATTGAAAAGAGCGATGCAGTGCTTCAGGCCGTCTCCTTCTTTCTTTCTTTCCTTCCTTTTTCCTTTCCGTTTTTCTTTTCTTTCCTTCTCTAGACCCTTAGAGAGACCTTGCTCCCTTTCGTTCTCTTTTGATACTTGAGCACATTCTCAAATGACTCTTAAGGAACACACGAATGGCGACGAAGGACGACCTTTCACATCCCATCAACGCTGTGCAGGAGCTTGGCGTCTACTTTGCTGTGCTGGATGGACACGGCGGGACGCAGGCCAGCGGAAACGTGGTCGCAGACGGTGCCATGCGCAGCCTCCATGCGCAGCCTGCGACCACGTCTGTGCCAGGTGGCCGATATGGCAAAGGAAAAGCTTCAGAAGTAGCTTGGAAGGGAGGAATGGATGGAGTGAAAGAGTGAGCTATGGAAGTGTCCAAAGCATTCTGCTTCTCTTCACCATAAGGGTCCATGTCCTTGGAATTGCAACACTCCCCCGTGGAAAGCTGCTTTGACTGCTGCTCGGGCAGAATTGGGATGCTCTAAGGAACGTCCTCCAGCAAATGCGGCAGCGACAGGTTCTGCAGAAAGTTGTCACTTGCAAATGTGGCATTCTCTTGGGTACTTCTCTGTTGGGTCCAAACGCCTCACCACACAGTTCATGGAGGGAACGTCTTCGATGTGGGTCGCACCCGTGGTGATCCGGTCTGAGCGAAAAAGTGCAGGTGCAACCTGCATCTCGCGATGAGAAGATCAAGATGGCCATCAAAGAGGCCCCCGAAACGAGGGGCGTGTGGTTTGACGGAGGCTCCAAAGAAAAGGTTTGGTAGGAGCTTTTCAAGTTACATTTGTCAGGCCTTCTTGCAAACGGACAAGGAGATCCTTGGGCTGGCGGAGCGCAAGAAGCCACTTGGAGCGTTTCAGTTTTGGGCCCGCGAACCTACAACGCTTGCGGAAAGCCTTCCTGTGAAAGTCAAAGGTGCTGCAAGAGGGATCCGTTGCACTTGCAAGATTTTCATTACACCCTCAGTTGCGTGTGACAACACTTGCCATGGTGTTGGACACATAGCTTGTCCATGCCTGCCATGCATGAGTTCTTTGATTTTTGATGACCGATTTCCCTCCAGATGGATTTCCTGAATGTCTTTGCGGAAAGGACACCACTGGAGCCTGACCCTTCTGCACGACTGTGTCCCATTGAGGTTTGAGCTTGTTGGCTCCACTTGTGCAGGGAAGCTCAGTGAGAAGTCCGTCGAGCAGCTGAAGTGTGGCCTTCGACTTGCCATTCTGCGAGGAAACACAGCCCTTGTGTCATCCATGCCAGGTACAGGGTCGCTAGCTTCTTTTGTTCCAACTATCTACAAGAAAAGAAGTGTGTTTCATTGTGTTTCCATTCAAATCCATCGAACTCTTTTCTTCCATGCCTTGCCAACTCCTTTCCAATGAGTTCCTTTTTCCTTCCGGCGGATTCTGTTCTCCAGGTCTCAGTGATCCTCCATGGAAATCCGCACGGTGCTCAGACGAACCCGCGAACTGGTGGTCGAAAGTGGACGTGTTTGAGGTGTCAATGGATTTGGAGAGGGTAATGATATGATTGCAAAGACCATTTGTTGTGATATGATATGATGGCACATCTTTGCAGATCATCCACCTCAGCAGGTTTCACTTAGCTCCTAGCGGTCCTAGCGCTCCCACGTTTTCCTGCACCTGAGGAAGCTGGGCACGGCTTTGCGTCTGGCGGGATCCTTTGAGCCCTTTCCCAGCTTCGTGATGCGCACCTCTCCATCTCGCCTAAAGCCGCACCGTTCGCCCCGAAGCAGTCGAACCTCTCGGGTTTCCAGCGACGTCCGCGCGCGCGACAACCTCAGGTGGTGTCCAACCTAGGGGACTCCCGGGCGGTGCTTTGCCCGGCGACCTCAGGGTGGTGTGGCGAAGCGGCGGTGCGAACAGATCGTCCCTCAAGAGGGCTTTGAAGGACATCACTTCCGACACATTGGCAGAGTAGCAAGCAATTGTGATGTGCAGTTGAGGTATATAACAGGATTGAGGATGACCGACCACGGATGTCGGTGACGGGCCTTGCTGTGAGTTTCATTGATGAAGCTGAGGTCGTGCCGGCACAGCTGTGCCGGTCTCGGAGGACCACAAACCTACGCGAATGGACGAGCCGCACCGGGCATGGCCTTGCTGTGTGGCCTGAAATCGTGCTGTGTCAGTTGAAGTCTTTTGCCCCATCCTAGACTTGGTGTTGAACTGGATTGGTGGATTGCTCAAGACGGATGAAGTCACTTCACCTTCAAAACTGTGAGTGTACCACTCAATGCTTTGGAGATCTTTGGAGCAGAGAGACCCTGCGCTGCCAGGAAGAAGCGCATCGAGCGCGTTGGGGGTCTTGTGTTGCAGGTGCCTGCGGAAGCAGCATATCCAAGCATAGCCTTGGGGCCTAGCCTCACGGGCGCTGCGAGTTGCCTTCCCAAACCCAAGAGTGGACATTGTAAGCGCGACCAAGATCACCAAGTTGGTAGGTTTAACTCCTGTCTCCCTTGGACAAGATGAGCACGTCTTCTCTTTAAGGCCAAACTCCCATGGCAGGTGCGGGGCGCCTGGCGTGTGGCCACCTCCACAAACCCCAACTCCATGAATAAGGCCGCCAGGAGGGAATACCAGGCCGGGAGCTGTGGAGCTGCCAACTGCCGGATTCCGAGTTCACGAGTCTGAGAACTGCCAGGGCCTCGCAATGACGAGATCCTTTGGAGATTTGTGGGGCTGCCCATTTGTGCAGTTGTTTTCTTTTTTTCGCCGGTTGGGCTTCCAAAGTTGGTGCGCACAGAAATCGAGAGTCCACGCGACAGAGGCTGGACACGTAGTTTGTGGAGCTTGGTTGCTCATGCTTTGGTCACCTCCATCAGTCGAAGGAAAAAGCGGCAGGGAGGGACATACAGAAAGATAATGAAAGAGACATGGTGAACGCAGGTCCACATTTCAGTCTCGCACCTCGATCTTTCACCCACTTCACAGGGCCTGAACGTCCCATTCACTCCCGCCGAGAGAGAGAGAGAGAGAGAGAGGGGCTCGACCGGTCGAGACCCGCTTGGACGCCCGAGGCACTTCAAGCGGCCCATTGGACTCGCCATTGCTGAGCCCGAGGTCCAGGTGATCTCCCTCTCCGACAAGGAGCGTGTTTGGCGCCTTCAGCCGTACGGGCGGTGCTGCCACCGGGCTGGCCGAACGGGCGGTTGCCCGGCCAGCGGGAAGAGAAACGACTATTGGCAGGTTTCATTGATGGCCATGGGTTTCAAGCTGGGGCGACCAAATCTATCCAGAATTGGAGTATATACTGGAAGACCGATGAGTGGTAGGTTTGCCTCCCATTGAAGCTTCCTTCCGATCTGTTCTTTGCCGTTCCTGTTGCCGTGGAGCTTCAAGATCTGAGTCGCCGTGGAGCGCCCACGGCCGTGTGTGGAACAAGCGCTGCATCCCAACATGCTGGTAACGGGAGCTTCCAACACGGGAGCCTCCACGGCAGTGGAGAGATTTTATTGTAAAATCTTTGTTTATTCTGCTGCTGCCACTCTAGCTTTGGGAGTCGAAATCATTTACACCAGATTGGTTCCAAAGCTGCCGCAACTCTATGCAGCACTCATCCGCGCTGCTGTGTGGGATTGCATACTGGTGGGGGGTTCTGGTCGCTCAACTGGTGGACCTAGCGCAGATGCCATTTCTGATGGGCATTGACAGTGGGCACTACCTTCCTCTCGTGGTCTTGCTATATCATGGAATTGCCTTTACATTCTGTGGTGTTTATGACCTGGTGAGCCAGCAGGGCAGTGGCAGGTCGAGAGTCTTGCACCGCTCCTTAGTGTCCCGGCGAGTGTTGTTGGACCTCGCCGGCGGGGCCTCAGGCACCAAACTCTTCCTGGGTCGAATTTGCTTCATTGTCAGTGGAGCAGCCATGTGGCTGGGCTTGCGAGTGCTTCTGCTTATTGAGGATGACACCACCGTGCTCACGTGCCTTGACATAAAAGGAGAGCCCTTGGCCCGCCTTGCAAGGAGTTGATATGACATATATAACTAAAACAAAAGCGCATACCAGAGGGTACATCCTGTATCTCAGGGCAATCATTCAAACTCTGACAATGACGAATTAAGTGATCTTTGGCCCGCCCAATCGTCAGACTATGATCCATGGAAACCAAGTGTGACCCATCCTATTGTTACCTCAACAGTCCTATTGTTGCCCTCACATCCCATGTTCCTCATCCCAAGATTAGTCCCAAATTCCCAAGTCTCTGGTGCATTTGACAATGTCACAACATATAGATGTACAATTCCAAGTTGAGGTGGAGTTTCAGATCCAACAAGTGAGTGGATGATTCTTTGCATCTTCTTCTCCCCTCAGTCTAAGCATCCTGAGCTGGAACAGGTTGAACATGGTTGAACCGTGCCGGCGCCAAATTGAGGTTCTTTATCATTTTGTTATTCGTGGCCTACTCCGCTGCTGGCTTGGCTGCCCTGGAGCCGAGGCGTTCAGTGCCCGGACAGCTGGTACAGTGGCTTTGCACGGGGTGGGGTGCGAGAGAAGCGTTGCTCCAGGGTCCACTGAAAATCCTGGGTGCTTTGCTGATTCTTCCCTTCACGGCATCTGTCTCTGGGATTGTGAGCTTCAAGCATGATTTGTTTCCTTCTTGGTGTGAGTTAGGATGTTGACCATGGTTTTGGGCATTGGAGAAAACAGACTTGACCATTTCATATCTCGACTTGACTTTGGTTGAGGTGATTGCAGCCCAGATTTGGCTTCGCACGATTTCATTCATTGTTTGGTTGGCCGTGGCTTGCCCATGTTGTCGCCTCGAGCGAGCAGACAATGTCTTCGACGCTTTTGAGCGAGAGCTGGGCATCCCCCTCCTTCAGTGCTCATTTTTAGCATTTGCATGCACCATGGCGGGCATGATCTTGGATTCTAAGATGTCAAGTATGCAGCGAATGGCCGTTGGTTTTGTTGCTGCCTATTACACGGCCTTTCTACTCATCTGGACGGCGCCAGCTGTACTTCAGGCCAAGGTCATGGCCGAGGAAAGACTCTCAGCACGGTTTGGAGGGACTCCGTTTTTGCCAATCCCTTTTCTCGCTTTTTCTGGAACATTTTCCTTTCCCCGTAGCAACCGCTCCGGAAATCCGGTGTTGCCCAGGCATGAGTTCCTCCTTTGTCATGGAGGAGGGTACCAACCACCTGCTGGAGGAGTCGGAAGGTGTGGAGCTGGAGGAGCTCCGCAGCAGCTGTGAGGAGCTGAAAGCACTGCTGCAGCGGGAGCGCCACGACCATGCTGTGGAGGTGGGCCAACTCTTGGCGCGGCTCCGTGACCAGGAGCTGCGTGGTCTAAGGCAAGAGATTCGTGAGCAGGAGCCGCAGAGTCCGCCAATTCGGGGCCGCTCTCGGTCGAGGACGCGGGCGAAGCGCGAGATCGAGATTGCCATGCGCTGGGTCGCCATCTCGGAAAAGTTGATAGAGGTCCGTGGCCAGGAG